CATTAACCAAATAGTTTAGCTACAAAAACTTGCTTTTTTCATTTGATCCCTAGGGAGTAGATGCGATTCAGGATCAAATAGCACATCCACGCTGTAAACAATAGAACCATTTCGAACGAACTATAAATATCTGAAAATTTTATTATAGGATATGTCGCTTGTTAATTCGATAAAGATTCCAACAATTTTCTTTGATTTGCTTCCATCTATATATATATATATATATATATATATATAGTTAGGTGAAAAATTATAGCATCCGCCTTTTGTTGGGTACTTCGACAAAATTTAAGCAAAGAGGACTCTTTATACTTTTTTTAATTCTCTCTAGCTTTCAATCGACTTTGCCATCATCATCAGGAGCTGCAATTACATTGATAACAGTAGCAACAATAGTGTAAAATGAATTTAAATTGTACAGTAGTATGTGAGGATGTTGCTAATTGTTGTTTACGTTCAGGATGAGGGAAACGCCCAGTAACATGGTGAAAGCTGGATAGATGGTACAATGGTCAAAAATTATATAAAATACACACAAATGTGTGACAAGGACAAGTTAAAAACAGATTAAACATTTTTTTAGAACATGAAAGCATCACATCGTGAAGCCACTTGATGATTGCACAAAATGGTGGTCATGGAACAATGAGTGAGATGAACCCTTTGACAGAAGGCCGAAGGTTGTCAATGTCTGTGTAGAAAGATGGAACGAATTGTGGGCGTGTGCCACATTGTCAAATCACTTCAGATGATGTGATTTTCAGAATGTTATGTAAGAAATTGTTAAACCGACCAGAGGCAGTTGAATTAGCTATATTTTAATTAATGGGAAATTAAATTAACAAATATTATTAAATCGTGAGGAGAAAATTATTAGAATTTGAGTGGAATGAAGTTGATTGGTGGAATCGACCAAGAAACAGATTCCATTTATGGTTGTGAAGAGTCAAAATTTGGGGAGATACGTAAGTTCTCCAATTTTTTGCAGTTTAGCAAATATGAGTAAATGACACTCAGTTGCTTAACATCTGTCTTTTTGTTGATACAGTTGTTATTCATGAAAATGTGGGACATTTCCAGGAATAAACGTTTGGATAGGTGTTTTTCTCTATCAAGAACTTTGATACTTGTGTAATTCATAGAGTGCCCTGTTGTGTTAACATGAGACGCTAGAACGCATCTTTCAGGATGAAGCCTAGAATCACTTTTGTGTGACGTAGTCCTTCCTTTAAGAGATCTGGAGGTCTGACCTATGGTACTCCCACAATTCGTTCCATCTTTCTACACAGACATTGACAACCTTCGGTCTTCTGTCAAAGGGTTCATCTCACTCATTATTCCATGACCACCATTTTGTGCAATCATCAAGTGGCTTCACGATGTAATGCTTTCATGTTCTAAAAAAAATTTTAATCTGTTTTTAACTTGTTCTTGTCACACATTTGTGTGTATTTTATATAATTTTTGACCATTGTACCATCTATCCAGCTTTCACCATGTTACTGGGCGTTTCCCTCATCCTGAACGTAAACAACAATTAGCAACATCCTCACATACTACGGTAAGTTAAGTCAATTTAAATTCATTTTACACTATTGTTGCTACTGTTATCAATGTAATTGCAGCTCCTGATGATGATGGCAAAGTCCATTGAAAGCTAGAGAGAATTAAAAAAAGTATAAAGAGCCCTCTTTGCTTAAATTTTGTCGAAGTACCCAACAAAAGGCGGAAGCTTTAATTTTTCACCTAACTGGTCTAGACGACAATGACCACGTCTCAAGTTATATATATATATACCTGTACATATATATGGAAGCAATCTCACATACTACTGTAAATTAATTTAAAATCATTTTGCACAATAGTTGCTATTTCTTCTCAATGTTATCGCAGCTTCTGATGAAGATGGCAAAGTCCATTGAAAGCTAGAGAGACCAATAAAGTACAAAGAGTCCTCATTGCTTTAATTTTTGTCGAAGTACCCAACAAAAGGCGGAAGCTTTATTTTTCACCTAACTAGTCTAGACGACAATGACCACGTGTAAAGTTATATATATATATATATACAAGATGTCCGGTAAATAGTACAACAAAAAAATGGGAAAGATCGGCGAAAGACAGACCTACAATACCAAAAAATGACCCTACTAAAAGTTCCACTGTTTATGAGATATTAATTTGTTTTCTCTGTTTCGAAAAATTCCCTCGTTTGATACGAATTTGTTGTTGATTAAGAAGATCATTCATCGCAGTACTTCCCAGTAGCAGTCTAGTACATTTTTATTTCATTGCTGAATGCCAAACTTGAGTAAAATAGTTGTCTAAAATAAAAATTACCTAGAAGAAATTGGTTTGTCAAGTTAACATACTTGTATTTATCGAAAATGATAGATAACTGGCAGACCAACTATCTGAGAATATTTTGCAAAAGAAGCAAACAGATATCCTGTTATTTCTAAGCACAGCAACAAAAAAAAAAGAGAGAGACAAAAAAATTCATATCTCAAAAACAGTGAAACTTTTACTAGGGTCATTTTTTGATATGCTGTAGACCTATGCTTTGCCTATCGTCCTTATTTTTTTGTCGTACTATTTACCGGACACCCTGAACATAAAAATAAATCCCTATTTCGCATGGTCACGTCATAAATTGAGAACGACATTACCGATTTCATTCATATTGCTTATGAAAACACAGTGCTTTCGTCTTTGGTCTTACATTTCTTTACCATCCGTACTTTGTGATGGCCCCTTCAAAAGAAACTGCAGTGTTGCCTAATTGATAAATAAATTTGACGGATGAAAATACGTTTCTTCTGTTTCATTGACATTCATAACTCTATCATTTTGAACTTGACAGCTCGCACGCCCCTAATTTATGTTATCGTTTAACAGTGTTTATCGAGGAAAAAATAATGTTTTATTTAATTAGTGGAGCACAGTCCATTCGGTTAGAGCTTTTATCCAGTTTTCAGTTTGTTCAGTGAGTTTTTTGAGAAAATAATTAACAAACGTGGAAGTTAGTTCTCCGCAATCACGCCTTATATTAAAATTGTGATTCCTCAAAATGCCACCAATTAGATGCAACAACCAGCCTAGGTCGCAGAACTCGGAATGTCAAAGTTATATACGAAGAAGTCAAACTGACGAGCAGCGAGAAGCGAGACATGAAGTTGAACAGATCGAAGGACCGAACTTCAACAAGAAGTGTCGCATTTAATCCCAATCGAGCTGCATTCAGTTATGACGTGGCAATCGATTACATCCCACAACAAATCGTTGCTATTGCACTAATGAACGTTGCGAGTCCACATTGCAAGGCTTTCAAGTTCAAAAATGAAGCTCCTGGTCTTATGTTGCATCAGTAGAAAGATCAAATTGACTCCATTGGTACCACCACTAGAGCCACTACATTCGTTGGTTTCCAGAAATAGGTCAGATTCTATACATTTTTTGACTCATATCCAGCAATACAATCATTGCTTTCAAATGACGTCATTAGGCACAACAAAATTTATTCCACATAATTGTATGGCTACTTTCAAGGAAAGTTGATGGGGGAATGACAGTGTTGCCAACATATTTTGCTAGCCACATGGCAGTACAAACACTTCGCTACACAATTACCTATATTCCATATATTTACCCTTGTATTATTAATTATTCATCCCAGCTCATAGCTAAGCCAGGACAGCCTCTGTCAGGTCAGCAAGTTATAAACATAACTTTGAGGTTTGTGGCAGGTCACCTGAATTAGATCGCTGATTTTCGTTATTGCAGTCCAAAATCCTACTTAATAAATCCTTTGACGTCAAATTAAATTACCGAACGCTTATTGAGTAACACGTCATTGGAAATACTGCTAACTAAGAATCGCCTATTGCAGTGCTGCCAGAAATGACATATATTAGCAAACAAATGTGTGTTATTCTAATCCATGGACGTTCATCCTAAAAATACCTCTTCTTTGAAATGGAGTGTGATATGATCAATCTAACGTTCATCGTCCGAATCTACTGGCATTTCAGCAACCCGCCTTTTCATTGAGCAATTTGATATGGCAGCACTGGACGCTGATAAAAGGTTATTCCGATTCTCTCTCTCTCTCTCTAAAGAAGCCTGCATTTATCTTTGTTGAGAAATAGGCACGTTGATGAATTTTTGAAATTATATCATTTTTTTCAAAAATTATCTCTCTTAGGTAAGTAGTGATACAGCTGTTCAGGTGTTTTGATGGTTTTTGATGGGTCAGAACAAAACTGGGAATTACTTTCATACATCCACCTCCTTCATACATACATCTCACCGCCTTGGAAATATTCTCATAAATGTACGAGTATTCCATATTTTCACTAGGTAGTCACTATCAGTAAGGCAACTTGCTTGTCATATACTTGCCATTTTAAGTTTTCTTTTGTTTATCTTTGATATAAGACCTATAAATATCTGCAGATACAACTACAATGTCGACAGCATTTGTGGTGTATTAGGAAATTGAATGAAAATAACTGTCCTCAATCATCCAATAAATGTGTGTGTGTAAGAGCGAGTAACAGCTGCGTTGTAGATGGATGTGTACAGTGTGCAATTTTCTTTGGAGAAGCTAAGCTCGGCACATAGGACAATTAATTATTTTGTATGACAACAAACGGTAAACTGAACTCGTTCGCCCATAAGAAGCAACTTATCGTACTGACAGTGGCAAACATAAAGGTACCGTGACATGAAAATTGTCAAGATTGTGATACAAAACTAAACTAAAACGTATGTTTGTGGGCTTACACAAACACTAGCAAATAAAAGCCAATTGCATCCGTATGGGTGAGCGAGATGGATGTATGATAGTACGAGGAATGTCTTTTAAGTTTAGCATATGGAAATAAAACAACACGGTAAGTACTTTTAAATGACTTTATTGTTTTTCGAAGTATTCTCCACGAACCATCTTTCGAAGCACTTATTCCACTCGTTTGCTGGCAGATTCAAAACGGCAATTTTGAATGCGTCAACTGCTTCTTCTGGTGACTGGAACCTTTGACCACGCCGTGTGCTTTTAATTTTCGGGAAAGTAAAGAAATCGCTAGTTAGATCGGGACTATATGGAGGATGGTCCAATAATTCTACGTTTTCTTCCGTTAAATACTGCCTTGTTTTTTGGACTGTGTGCGAGCTTGCATTGCCTTGGTGGAGGATGATTCTTCTTTCGGTGATGACTTTTGGCAAACAAATGGTGGTATACCAATCCGCAGTAACAGTTCTTTGCTCATTAAGAGGAATTGTTGCAATATGACCCGCTTTTGACACAAAGGTCGCGACCATCTTTTTCGAAACACTTCGAGAACGGATGACTTTTGTTGGCTTTTCTTCATCTTGGAACACCCAAACAGCCGACTGTCGTTTATTTTCTGGTTCATAACAGTAAATCCACGATTCATCACCACTAACAATGCTGTACACATTTTTTGGAATTGAAACGGTCAAGCGTTTTTTGAAACCAATTAACCCTGGCTGCTTTCTGCTCTTCAGTCAACAGGTGGGGTATCCAACGAGAAACTAATTTTCTTACTCCTAATTCTTAATGTAATTTTTTTTTAATTGAGGTCTTTGAGATCTTCGCGATATGTCACATGTCTATCTTCAATGATGACTTTGCGCACAGCATCGACGTTTTCCTGGGTGACTGCCGTTTTTGGTGCACCCACCCTGGGATCGTCGCTAAGACTCACCCGTCCACGTTTGAATTCTCGTTGCCGAAAACAGACAGTAACTCAGCAAGGCATTCTTGTTGCGATAATTGCCTCTGAAAGTTGTAATAAATTATGGCGCGAAAATGTCCTCAGTTGAGATCCATTTTACTAATGACTTGGTGACACTTGAAAATTCACTGTAGTGAGAACACTGCACGTATTGTTGTGAAACTTTGAATTTAAGTTTACTAAAGAGTGAGGTTAAGATTCAGTACTGACGTTGGATACGCGCGGAATACTATGTTTCTATATGCAAAACTCAAAAGGCATCCTTCGTAATTCGCATAGTTTCACTGTCAGCTGCCAAGAACATAAACAGACCTACAGGTGTTGCATTAAATTTGATCCAAGGTTCAAACAGCGATGATAACCTTTTTTCTGATAGGGCGAATTTGCACCCAAACTGCAAATTTTGGTCCAAAAGTTGAATGTAAACATTGATTTAACATGAGGATTACACAAATCGTATAATTATCCGCTAGCTTGAGAGATACTTACTACTTACTGAAAACCGAGCAAAACTTCGAAGACGCCCGCTGATTGGTCAAAATCGATCCCGGATAGTAAAATCGAGCCTTAGCAATTCTAAAGATCGACGCCAGTGGTTTCGTGATCGGCGGCGAGCGCGAGGCGTGAAAAGATAATCCCCTCCGATTAATGTCGGTACGAGAAGGAAACACTGATAAATTAGGATGATCGCCCCATCGCCGCTATAGCTAATAGTATCCGATCGGAAACCGACAGAAAAATACGTGTACGTGTAGATATCAGGATAGAGAAGAACCTTTGTGTGACGGGTCCAATGAGATTATGAATTTTATGCAGATGTGAGACTTATGCTTTTATTTTAGAATTGGCTATACGGGAAGTTGTGCATGCAGAATACGAGTACCTCATTTTCTTTGTCAACCAACATTACCCGAGCGTAGACCCAAGACTAGCAATAAGGTCCTTGACAGATTATTATTGTATCTATATTTCTCAAAGTTGAGTCATTTATTTTAACTGCTTGTAGGATTCGTCAAAATGGGTTAATACACCAAAAATCGCCTATATGAAAGTTGCACAATAAAAGATTACTTATTTAAAAAAAATAAGAATGTTATTACACAGATTTTTTGATATTCTCGAGCACTGCCGGGTATAATATTCTCGTTTTCAGTTTACTACTTTTATCGTTTATCTAAATTTGGCAAACTTTTTGTGTTGTACGGTTTTCAGTACGAGTCTCTGGTTCGATCAGTTGTATCAGTCTTTTAATACTGCGTATACTTTTAGTTGTCTGATTATTTTGTGCGAAACAATGGCCCATGTTTACTAAAACAATGAACTAGTTGACATAATACTAACATACTGAGAATACCTGCAAAACTGCAGCCGCAGCATGCAGGTTGTTTGCGGAAAGTTTTACTTTAAGAAATCATTCGGCGCCACGGATGTTTGTGAATTTAGTTATTAGACTTCGTGACACAAGATATTTAAAAGAACAACTAGGAGGTTACGCTGGAAGACCTGTTCAACCTGAAATGTTACAAATTGGGGAAGACATTTTAGAAATGGTCGAAGACGGCCCAACAATCAGTACCAGAGCCATAGCAGCGTGCATTGTGAAAGACAATACGACAAGAACAGTATTATCCTTATCATTGTCAACGGTTACAAGCGTTATAACCTCAAGATCATCCAAGATGAGTTGCATTTTGCCAGTGGCTTCCAGAACAGTTCAGCAGAAATGAAGATTTTACGAAATTAATTTTATGTACAAACGAGGCCACATCACACGAAATGGAGTGCACATTTTCCACAACAATCATGTTTGAGCAGTATAAAATCGACATGCTGTAAAAAAAATTCATTCCCAACATGGGTTTTCATCAAATGTTTTCGCTGGCGTGGTAAATGGCATGCTTATTGGACCCTACATTTAACCTGATAATGATTTTTTAAATAATTTATAATGATGTAAACTAACTCTCTTATTAAGTTTTATATAGGTGATTTCTGGTATATCAATTTATTAAACGAGTTCTACAAGCTGTGCGAATAGATAACTCAACTTTGAAAACTTCCTGTAAAAATGTTAATTGTTTGATCCGCGAAAATATACATCGTGTTCAAAATGTATGGATAGATCATTATATCTCGAAAAATACATTCTTTAGAGTAAAAAGTTATGGTACAAGGTTATCAGATTTAATAGGATTTATCTAACTGTGATCTTAAATGTTACTTTGACTATGACCTTTAAGGTCATTTGAAGGTCAAGACATTTTTCATAAATGAAACTCCTAATTTTGACACCAGAAATGTAAAGCGGAACATTTTATGTTTATGTATATACACCGCCCATGATCATGACTATGACCTTCGTGGATATTTTAGGGCATCCACAAATTGGGAAGAAGACAAAATATATCAAAGAAAAAAAAACGTTTCATAAAGGAGCATGTTGTGGAATAATATTGTAAGGTTTAAAAAGATTGATCTACTGGTGACCTTGAACAAGACCTTGACTATGACCTTCAAGCTCATTTGAGGGACAAGACAGCTTTCCGGACTGAAAATCCCTGGTTTTGACACCGGGAATAAAAGAAGCAAGAAACTTTATGTATCACCGGAAACATCTATTTTTAATTCCTGAAATGCATATTGCGGAAAATGTTAAGTTCAAATCTATCCTCGCCAATGAATCTGACCATGACCTTCAAGGTTGTCTAAGATCAGATGAATTTTCAAGTATCCTTTGTTTTTATAAAAAATCAAAAATTTGGAATTAATTCATTATATTACTCTAAATATTGCACTTCTTTCTCCTAAATTGATCTTCCCACTAATAGATCGAGGAACTATAGCGCTGAACAAGCTATTACTCTCATAGTTTCATTAAATTTGACAAAAGGGAATTACAGTGGACCCCCGATAATCCGGCCCCTGTCTAATCCGGCGCCCCCTGTAATCCGACATGTCTTTGAATATGTATTACATACATACGTATTTGACAATCTTCGCTAATGTAGATCACGCAGGTTTGAACAGGTTACAACTTGTACGCGCCACCGCTATCGTGCTCGACGCGTAAGCATTGTTTTACTTAGTTTGAATTTGACTACTGGTGATAGCGGTACGGCCTAGCGTGCGTTCATTGTTTACTATTTATTCATTGTGTACCTAGTAATGTCATCACAAACTTAGAAGCGAAAGCACAAAACATTGACAAATAAAGAAAAATGTGATATTTTATACCGCTTAAATCGCAATGAAACTTTCAGTAGTTTAGCAAGTGAATACGGCGTAGGCCGATCTACAATTTATGACATTAAAAGAAGAAGATCAAGAAGTTCGTGTCAAGAAAGCTCAATATCCAGAAGTGGAAGAAGCTTTGTACATGTGGTTTCTTCAGGAAAGAAATAGGCATGCACCAATTTCAGGACCCATGTTGGCCATGAAAGTTTTTTTATAAGGAAATATCAAAAACAGATGATTTTGTGGCCAGCAAAGGATGGCTAGAACGTTTTAAAAGTCGTCATGGCATACGTTTAATGACTATTACAGGAGAGAAACTTTCTAACGATGCCACCTGCATAGAGCCCTTTAAATTAAGATTTCTGCAAAAGGTGAACGATTTAAATCTTCACCCGTCACAGGTGTACAATGCAGACGAATCAGGGCTTTTTTGGCGTGTGATGCCTAACAAAACTTTCGTTTCTTGTAACAAAAAATCCGTACCTGGACGAAAAGTAAGTAAAGAGCGTATAACCATACTACCATGTGCTAACGCTGCGGGCACACACGCGCTTAAGATGATGGTCATTGGGAAATCTAATAAACCACGGACATTCAAAAACATTGATTTACCTGTACACTATCACGGACAAAAAAGTGCCTGGATGACAAAATACCTTTTCAAAAAGTGGTTTGATGAATGCTTCATACCTGAAGTTAGAAATTGGTTAAATATATTTAATTTTCCTCAAAAAGCGTTCTTGCTTCTTGATAACGATCCCGGTCATCCGTCTGAAAAATAACTAACAACTGAGGATAAATGCATCACTGCGATGCTTCTTCCGCCAAATTGCACTGCACTGATTCAACCAATGGACCAGAATATCATTCAGTTTGTCTATCAAGACTATAAGAAAAACCTACTTTTGAGAGCCGTATCAAAAGACCAACCAATAGAAAAAACTTTAAAAGAATTTAATATGAAAGACTTGGTTTTTGCTCTTTGTCAGTCGTGGAATGTGTTACCGTCATCATCTATTAAATCGTCTTGGAAGAAGTTATGGCCAGATATAGTCACCACTCCTAGCAAAGTTCCAGGAATCAGTGTTACTTCGGAAGTTATAGAAAAAGTCGCTCCTGAAACACAGATAAGTCCGGAAGATTTGGTGCCGTGGAATGGATACAGAGGAAAATGTTTTTCATGAAATGTTTGACGAAGATATTATAAAAGAGGTTTCTAATTTTACAACAAACAATCAGGAAAATAACGACGACGTGATTGCAACTGCTGCACAAGTCACAGCACAAGACGCAATTAACGCCTTTGAGCTAGGTTAGCACTGGGCTGAAGAGAATGGAGAAGACTGAGGGAGGAGCTCTGGTCTCGCGTTATAACAACCTTAAACAAAAAAAAATTGATGAATATTTCCAAGCATCATAATTTGATAAATTCATTAATGATTTTGATTAATAATTCTTGATTATTTTGGTACATATGTATGTGCATTTATGCTTAATTTTATAATAAAACGCAAGCTCTCTATTGTTATTTAATTTACTAAATTTGACATAAATAAACGATGTATGATTTGTACTTCAAA